CACCTTATTTATGGAGTTTTCCCATATTCCTTAGATGTTTACGTATTGTTTCATGAGAGACATGCAATTTCAGGGCCAGGAGGATGATTTTATATTACAGTTGAGTAGGAATAATGTAACTGTAAACATTGTGGAAGTTTTATCAGCAGGTTTGATACCATGTATAATGTCCTGTATTTATAATTAGAATGTAAAACTTAGTTTTTTGTAAGTATACTTTTCGTATAGATGAATTTGATACACACAGTTTTAAATCACCTGTGAAAGTTATACAATGTGCTCTGGATAAGTGAATGATTTCATTAGCATGTAAAATTGTTTTATAGATACCAGAAATATGAGTTTACTGTGGTACGTGGTTAACAAGTAAAAGTTTTTTTTTCTAATATGTGCATGTACACACACATCAGAAAATATTGCTTTAATAAATATTTGGCATATGAGAACATGTTCCTTCTATGTATTAAAAGTCAAAGTATAATAATCACAATTGTTAAAATCTATAGCTTTGCTTATGCTGTAATAATGTTTCTGTGATTTAAATTAAAATTAAAAAATGTGATTTGTATGCAGTATCTTAAAAAATAGATAAATTGTTTTTGTTGTGTATGTACTCACAAAATATCAGTAATTTGAGTACAAGGTGACCTATCATTTGAAACTTTGCAAGATTACATTTAAGCAAATGGTGACAGCCTGTTTTGTCTTTATTAAAGAAGACATGAATGTTCTGCAGTTTCACATATTATTATAGGTAATGATACACTACAAGCATAAATTAATGATTAGGAAATAACTTATTTTGATCAGGGAAAGATCTGAGAAAATTTGGGGAATTTCATTCTACCCAAGGTGTGGGAATCATGAATAAAAGTTATTGAATAGAATATTTACTTCAAAACATACAACAAAAAGGTGGCAGTGAGTAAAATGTGATTTTTACTGATCTGAATCTGAAGTGAAAGCTGTGTAAAGGCACTAATTGTAATCTTAGTTGGAATGTAATTGACAGTTGGGGAGTCCGTGCCAAAACAATCAGATGAGTGATTTTTTTTTTTAGAAACTTTGTGAGTAGAAGCACTGTTAATGTTAAACTGTGTTTGATAGGTGTACCTCAGCAACAAAGAGAACCTGTCTCACAAGACCAAGGGATGCTGATGTACCCACAGAGACCATGGTTAGACAATTCAAATCCACAAAAGGCTCCTTACATGCCAGGTGGTAAAAGTTATCCACAAAAGTAAGAATCATGAAAAAATGGCTGTTTTACCTCAAATTTGGTTTTGGTTTATTATTCTTGTGTTGTGAATTTGTTAATTTTCATTAACATTAATGATTGCAAGCTTATAATTGTGTCATCAGGTGTAGCCATTTAAATTAAAGCTGAAAGTACTATAGTATTGATAAATGCAGGTTTCTAACACTGTGTTACTAGATCTAACCTTTTACTAAAACTGCTGAAGTTATAAAAACTGCAGCTTTTTTCAGTGCAAGTATTTAGCTCTGTGCTATCAGTTAAATTACTAAATATGTTATAGCTGTAGCTTTGTTAAATGTAGGTTTGTAACTTACTGCAAAATTTGATTAATTCAAAAATGTCCTGGAAACACTTAAAACCAATTCATTAAAATACAGGTTTTACAGACTGACAAAAAATTTTTATTGATATAGAAGGGTCAACCTAGTGATGAAATATTAACTTCTTTAAAATTAATATCATTTGTATAAGACCCACAGGTTATAATAAATTTGTGTTTTTATAGCAATAAATTTGAAACAATTCAGACTTTTAGAGGTGTTTTTTTATAACAAAAAAATAAATTTGAAACAATTCAGACTTTTTGAGGTGTTTTTTTATAACAAAAAACAAAGTGTGTACAAACAACAACTGCTAATGATACTAAGTTTGTTACTGTTTGCAGAAGCCTTGGTAACCAAAATGTACTTTGATGGCAGTTGATTATTTTTATCTTCTTTTTTTAATCCTTACAAGTAATAATGTATAGGGAAAACTTTTTATACGATCAAGCTGTGGGTTTTATAAATGATTTTGTAACATACCATAGCATCATTAGTGTAAATTAATGTTTTAAAAAAGCCTCTGGTTTAGAACATTTCAGTAACTTTTTCATTATAAATTAACTTATGCAAGTTGTCAACAAATTTTAAGGTTAATTTTTTTTTATTGTGAGACATCAGTCTCCAGACTGTTTTATGTGCAGCACAATATTTATGATTTAGTCTGACTCTCTTACAGTAATGACCAGCATGTTGCTAAAGTTATGGATCAGTCTTCTCAGCCCCAAGTTCCAGCATCAAATTACATTAATGAACATCCTTACATTGTTTCTCAAGCTGAATATGAACATCCATCTCTTACCCAATCTCAGGTAGAGCAGCAACAGCCATACCTCAGACCTCAAGCCCAGCAACCTCTAGTGGATTACCAAAGACCACCTAATGTCCAGGGAGGACGTGACAGAAATCAGAATTTAAAGCAAAATAATCAAGGTAACAGTGTCCTTTCTTTCTTTCTTTCCTAATTGAGACCTTAATGAAAAAAGTAAAATTATTTGGAGAACACAAATAAACATAACTTTGTCTGTACAAATGAAATATATAAGTAAGTAAATAGTTTTAACCCTCTTGCTACAGGCAGGTAAAAGTGCACATGTCATGACTTTTTAGAGTTACATTCAAAATTTACTGAAACAACTTTGTTGTCATAGTATACGACCAAACTTAGCATAGAAACATAGTTAATAAATCAATTTTTAATATTATTTAAGTTTTACGTTCTTACTTATATAAGGAAATATTTCAAAAAATCATCAATCTCACCCTAGTATGAGAATTGTGAGATTTGCTCTCTAGATCTGCCCTCTTCTCTAATTTATTTACTACTCTCTGAGAAGTATGGAATTTAATGTAACTTATTCATTATAGTATTGTTATTACTCAGGAAAAGCATGATTTTTATAGACTTTAATCTTATTTGGTTACAGAGCCATAAAATAGAAAATCAGACCCTGCTTGCTACACCCACCTGTCACATCCTCTCTTTCACAAATTGCCAATAGTTCTCTCTGATGTTTAATACTATATTATTTATAACCAGTAGAAATCCAAGGTTTTAATCTATCAAATGACCTATCTTATTACATTGTTCTTTGTACAGAGAATTGTCTATTTCGCTTCCAGTTCAAACTTCATTCCCACGGGAAACTCATCAACAAGCTTAGCTGAATTTTTAATGATTTTTATTGCATAGTTAGAAATCCAGAAAAATTATGATAGTTATAGGATATTGTCTGCTTTTTCTGTGTTATTATTCTGTGTTCTTATGTGCATTACTTAATTAAATAAAAAATTGTTTTTTGTAGAAGTACTGTTAGTATAAAAAGTAGGGTTAAGTTTCATCAACAATTGACAACAAGAAAAGGAAGACCCAGGTAGGTATTATATTTCTTGTTTCTCATGTATGTTCTTTATTTATTATTATGAAAGTAACTAAAATTTAAAATTAGAAATGTAAGTTCGATAAAGTTAGAGTAGGTCAGATAAAGAAAAATAATAATAATTTTTCATGAGGTACACTCACGAGTAATTCGTGTGTTACATAATTCGATAGGGTAATGCAAGGTACACATTCACTTATTGATTTACAATTTCTGTGGCAGTATTATTAATTAGATAAGGTTCAAAGGTCAATAAAATAATAGTTTAAATAGAAACATATGTATATTGTTGCTAGCTTTAAGTTATTTAGAATAAACAAATCTAGTTTCCAGTTACAAAATGAAGTCATTCTAGAAAGAATAAAGGAATAATTCCAATACAGTACATTACCTCTTCTCACATATATAGTTATTCTCATTCAGTGCTGCCCTCTATATGCACAAGCCTTGAACTCCCACGTACCCCACAATCAACATGGTTCAACTGCTTCTTGCACGTAAATCACCATGCAACAACCCTCCACCAACAGAAGTGTGACACACCCTCCTGGTGCATGTGACTCTACCAAACTATCACTTCTTGTTAGGCAGTGATTGAGTGCAGATGTTTTCCAATTGTGCTTTTTTTTTAGTTTTGCGAAGTAGTGATTTACATGATTTATTCATTTGCTATATTTAGTTTTTCTATAGTAGTTTGCCATGTTAACTTTGTTTATTGATTTTCTTTTGCTTATTTTTGACTTCTTCATGTTTTAAGATGAAGTTTGTGTTTTACAACTTCTGATATTATTATCCATCACTGGATTCAGGTTAAGGGGTCTAGTCTGAGGATTTTTCGGCTATCATTCTTCGGAAGATTTATCGTTATATGAGGCATCCTTTTTCTCCTGACAATGTTTGGGTTTCTCCTGCATTGGCTGAACCTGTTCATGACGAGGAGAATTTTGACAGTCTTTTTAATCTTTCTAACTGTGCTGTGCCTTCCCACACATCCCCTACGAACTCCATAACTGTTTCTCATCCTGCAACCTCCCATCCCTTACCAATTCCTACCATTAGGGGTTGTAAATTTTGCCTTGTGTCTTGACGTTGGGTTCTTCATTGCTACCAGTTCCAATAACTATCAGGTGGTTTCTGGTTCAGTGGGGGTACATTTGGCCAATTTTATTCCCCTCTGATGGTTATTCACTACTGATTCTTGGGTTATTCAAGTTTTGTCAGAAGGATTTTTCATCTTTTTCCTTTTCCATCTACCTTTGTCTCATGTACTGATTTGATTCCCATTAACTCTGGATCCAGCTACCTGTCTTCATCTATACAAGGTTGTGTTGACTCTTCTATCACTATAATCTTGGCAAATACATAGCCTGGGCTCTCACATCTTATGTAAAATCTGCAGATTCATTTTTTAAAGATGCCTTCAATTTCAAATATACACTAGACCAACTAAATTCTAAAGTCTTAATGGCTAGTTTTGATGTCGTGTCACTCTTCCCTCAAAGTCCCTGCCAGTGAAGCTTGCAATATTGCACTCGATCTCTACATTAATGACCCCAACAAGTTAATCCACATCCCCAGCACACTTTTTGCTTCTCTCTTAGAATTTACAACAACTAAAACCAAATTGGAGTCTTCTCAACACACACGTCTGCTGCTGACAATAGCAGCTTGTGTTGATTTGACTGTAAAGTTGATGAAGTTTCCTTTTGCCTACCCACTATCTTATCCACTTGGGTGTATTTTTGAACATCCACCTCAATCGGGTTCTACCTCTAGTGCTCTGTCTCAGAGTTTTTCCTCTGTTGCACTGTGGGGTTCCATTCAGATTGGATTTGGTTTGATGTGAACCGCCACATCTCTTCGTACTGTTATTTGGATGTCAGGTTCCCGGATGTATTGGTTATTGTGGATTTGCATACATGTGCCCCCTTTAGTAGTTCAGTTTAACGTATATAATTCCGCTCTACTCAACTTGAGGAGAAGATGGTCTGGACCCTCCTCCTACCATGGGTCAGAGGTTCTAATCCTAATGCTGCTTGGTTTTGGACTGGAGTTGACCAGCTGCATACGTCTGTCATTCCATAACCACTCTACACCTTGGAGCACATACATTTTAACTTTCCACACATTCCTGTCTGTAGATAGTTCTTCTACAGTCTTTTTCATCTCCAGGATTGAGATTCTGGTATACTGTTATTTACATTCCAATCTGACCAGTTTTCTCCCCCTTTTTGGTTGTGCTTCTCTCACTTCCTGCCTGTGTATGCGATACATATTTCCACACTGGGTGCAGAGTATACCTGGTACAGAAGTGGTGTGGTCTCCCACTTGTGTTCCTCTCCCAGCAGGGATGACACTTCAAGGGTGTTCTTCAGACACTTTCAAAGGATACTTATTTGTATCCCTCGCACCGGTCCCTCTGCTTATTCAGTGTGGGATCCTAGCTATACATGTTAGTAGAGGTAATGTACTGTATCAGAAGTTATTATTTTCCTATAGTGAAAATATATTTTTCATAGGTACTTACCCCTCTCACACTTCCCATCCTTCTTCTCCACTGAAACCTGTGCTTTTTTTTCTGCCTAATCTCAAAGTGATAGTTTGGTAGAATTGAATAGAGGGAGTCACATGTGTCAGAAGGGTGTGTGTTGCACTCTTGTTGGTGGAGGGTTGTCGCATGATGATTTATATTCAAGATGCTGTTGAACCATGTAGATCATGGGGTAAGTGAAAGTTCAAGGCTTGTGGCATGCAAAATAATTTTTGCATAGTAAGGGCAGCACAGAATGAGGAAAGTACCTATCGGAAAAATATTTTCAATATAGGGAAATAATGACTTTAGATTTATTTTGTATATTTTTTTTATGGTGGTTACGAAGTTGGTCAAATTGACCAACCCTTTATAGAGTTAGGGTAGAGAAAATAACAGATAAAATATAAAGTTTACTGAAAATAAAGTTTGAAATTTAGTTAGGAGGTCTTAGAGATTATGCACATGAAAGTTGACAATTTTCAGATGTAGAAAAGTATTTTTAATGTTAACATGAAAATTATTTTGCACTTGGAGCAGTCAACACTTTGACTATATATTCATGGAGAAATTTTTAGTAAAAATATTTCATTAAAAATTCCTATTTTTTGTATATAAAAGACTTGCTGCTTACAGAAAGCTTGCAAAATTTTGTGAAGATACAAACAACATATTAAAAGTTCTAGTATGGAAACTCCAAAGGTCAATTTTGGGTCAAGATGTAGGTCAGTTGGACTGAGCTCATAGCAAGAGAGTTAATATTACAAATTACATCATAAGTTTATAGTCAATAAAATCAGCACTATATAACAATGATGAAAGTTAATATAAAAACCAAGATGTGTATTATGAGACTAATTAAAAAGAAAAAGCAGTGCATTGCCAGTTTCATGTCATTATCGTTTAATTCCTAATGGAAAATGTCTGTGATCATAGCAACCCCAATAGGTATTGGGGATATTCCATCTGTCGTATATGATTCAAACACAAATGTCAAACTAGTTAACTGTTAGGGAACATCAAATTAGGGGTTAGGAGTTGAATACTTTGACCATCAACATCTCAACTCCTGCTGCCTGTAGTCAGTTGTGGGATGGCAGTCACTTTTAATATTTTGACGTAAAATAACATTGGAGTTGAAATAAACCACCCTATATTTTTACATTTATATAACTCCTTATCTTCACTCTTTAAAATGATTACAAAATGGCGGTAACTGGAACTATAAATCCTTACATTGATAGTTTTGTAATAATTGCATATCCATCCTCCTCACTATCCACAAAGCTATATCTCCAATGTCTTTGGGTGCTATGACCAAATACATTTTCCTTTATGAATTAAAGGGTAATGAAAGGAATGGTAATGGACAGATTTTTTTGTTAGTTTCATAATATGCATCTTGTTTTTGGTTTTTATATGAACAAGAGTGTTCTAGATATGATGGAACATCTGCTGTATAGAATTTTCAGTTAACTTAAACAAGTAGACTAGGTAAATAATAGAATTATCCAAGGTTTTGATAGTACAGTAAATAATTTAACTGCTTTATTTCTCTATTTGGGTGAGAAATTAGGCAGAAATTGTTAATATTTAGGTTATGACTATTAATATTTCTACTCGGTAAAAATTAAAACAATTTATGTTTGAGGAAAATAATAAGAGTATTGAGACATTTTCTTTGGTGTTTGTTATGTGGTTGAAAGGTGTGCTATCTGTAGATTAAATGTATAAATAAAAAAGATCAGGTCATTTGTAGTACTGATAACTTTTAAGAACTAAGCAATAATACTTATCTATTCATTAGTTTATAATACTTATCACAGAGTTATGCAAGAAAATACAAGAGCAATGGTAATAACAAATCACATTTATTTTACTTTTATTGTAGATTTGTTGAGATTGATTATGAATTTTGTGACTATAATTAGTACTGTCTTTTTATTTTTTGTGATGGTGAGTTAGATTTTTATGTAAATACACTCATAGGTTCACAATCCCAGAATGTTGGAAATGATCCAGTGTACCAACCGGTGGTGGCTGTTCCACACGAAAAGATCAACCACCACCAGAAACTTCAGAAAGTTGTGACTACCATGTCAGGTGATTGCTCATAAGAATTATTTCTCTTTTTTTGTGATTGTGCTTACTCTGAACATTTTGAACATGAAAACATTTAAATACTTTAAGTTCTAAACACTTTTCAACTGACCTTTATGTTTTAGTATGTAAAATGTTTGACTAGATACCTTCCATCTAGTCTTTCACAGCAACATTATGGATAGCTAGCGCAAACAGCCATCAAGTAGCTTTGAGTATAAATCAAAAAACAAGTCAAAAATATGAAATAATTTCAAATATTCATTGTTATTATAGTCAGTAGTTGTATAAAATTACTTTATTATTGATTACTTTTATTTTTTAACTCAATCAACTTTGAGGTTTCTTGCTTAATAAATAAGGTCTTAAAATTTAGTTTAAAAGTGTTCAAAAGTTATTTGAACCTTGCTATTGAAATGGAATAAAAACTCTGTAAATTAAATAAGAAAGACCAATGTTTAGTATCAAATATTTTAAATTTTCTATATTACTGTACATTTTACATTTTAATACAGGAAAGCTTGAATTTACAAGTATAAGATTGGGTATGTTTTTTGCACATATCTTTTTTATGTTTTACAGCTTTTGTCACTATAATCCTTTAGTAATAAATTTAAGTAAAACATTGAAATAAAATTAAATATAAAAAACATTTATAAATGTATCTTAATAGTAAAAACATTTATAATTCAAACACGTTTTGGAAGAAAATACATTTGTAAGAGTAATTACACTATTTACTAATGTTTTAAACACGATAATTAAAGCTTTCCATGATGGCAGGGAAATGAAAACACATTTTTAGTAAGTTATTTGAAAAATAATTGATTAAAATACAAAAATTCATCAGTGTTGACATTAATCTCTCCTGTTTTTTATCACCAGTAGAATAGTGATGAGTAGTGAATTCATCATTTCGTTATAATAGGTAAACTTAGTATGTAAATTTTCTCCATATTTAACTTTTAAAAGTTTCAAAATGAATATACATCATTTTGTATGTTTTCAAGCAAGATAAGTACTGTACCTTTTAAAAAAAAATTAATTTTTATATCATTTGTCTAAAGCAATGCATGAAGACAGCCTCTCAAGATCTTCTCCTGCTCCAAATAAGAAAACAGAACCTGATATGTCACAAGGTAAAAGTTCTCACAAAGAAAGAGATCCTGTGATTTCAGAATATAAAATGACCTTATCAGACTTGGAAGAATCAAGCCGAACACATGCCCATCAGTCAAACAGTGCCGTGTTAGCTTTAACTCTGGGCCTCTGTATCACTGCTTTATTACTTGTCCTGGTAGGGTGTCGAATGCGAACTATTCGCAGACGTTTTGGTAAAAGAGGGCGTTCCTCCTTAGCCCATGATGCAGATTACTTAGTGAATGGCATGTATCTATGACTGTTGATACCCAAAAGACACAAGTTTATCTTAACAATATATCTTATCTAAGTATAGCTAACAGTATATATGCTTTCTCATGGTAGTCAGAAACCACACCAAGAAATTCCTCTTTCTTGTATTAAAAAAATCAGTTATTACTTTGTACATGTTCACAAAAATACATCTACTTCATAATGATGCAGATAATTTATTTATCAGTTCATACATACAAAATTGCTTTTATTCTGGATTGTTTTTTCCCATTGATGTGTAATGAAATGCATCTGTAGTTATGAAAGTAAATCTTGCTTGGAATTGTTACAGTTTATTATTACTTTTGAATATTAGTAAAAAGCATGTAGAATATTAGAAATGAAAAATAATGAAACATTTATAAGAACTTATTATATAGGCTGTACATGTATGTAAACTTCATACTTGATAAGAAAAGTATCTCTTATAAAACTGTAGTTATAATGTAATCTGTATAACAGTTCCCTATGTAATATAACATTACATAATTAGTTAAGTTACATTAGTTTCTTTTAATTTTCATATTTACCTTTGTTATTACTTCTTTTTCTAAGTCTTATTATTAATGTGAGCTTTATTGACTTATCATAGTATATACATTTTATCTAGTACTTAGGATATAACTTTATTATTTCCAGCTGCCTACTTTGTATGTGTTGTAAAGTGATATGGATTAATTATGTATGTTTAATATGCTATTTTCCTTTTTATTAAATTTAACTTGGTTATATTTTAATAGAATCAACATTTTAGTATCTATTGTATGATTCTGTTGTTCATCTAATTTTTGTATTATTAATAGTACTATTTTTGTCTTCATAAACATTAGTTTTTGCTGTACTATCTGTACTGTTCTGCTAGTCAAATCTAAAGCCAAACTGTAACATGAGTTGTAGTAATTTATCTAAGATATTGAGCTAGTCTAAAGTGATATTATTTGAGCCATTTAGTGGGCTTTCATTGGTTACAAGATTTTGTTAAAGAAGATTATATTAAGTATTGCATATACTGATGAGATGTTCTTCAAGGAACATGAATTCTGCAGTAGTGCATTATGTAAACCACTACTACGTGAGGTGTAAGTAATTCTAAGAACTTATGAGTGAAAGCAAAGAATAATGTGTTATAATTTGTCAACCATACTACACCTGCCATATCTATATCTACTTATATCCTTAACTTTAATGTTACTTTCATTAACAGTATTGGTTTGAATGTTTAATATTTTTATTTCTTTATATTTTTACTATAAGAATTTTTTTGCATCGTTAGCTGTTATATGGATTTAGGATTAATTAGACATTATTGGGATTACAGATGAAAATATTGATAACAGTAAGTGTATTCAGCAGATGAGAAAATGTTTTCTACTTATTATAAGAACAGTATATTAAATTACCTATGTTAATTAATGTGTCCATTTTCAGTTCTTATCCATGTAGGTAATATTAATTAACTATAAAACACTTAATAGCAGATAAGTGGAAAATTATACTAAGCATTAATATAAGTTTCACAAGTGTAAAACTTTAATGAGTTAAGTATATACACAGTTTTAATTTTAATAAATGTATTACAATATCTTTAAGTCAAAACAGTATTTATGTATAAGAGTGACTAGACATGACCTTATGGTTAGCTTTGCAGGCTTCAGCTGAATGGTCCAGGTTCAAAACATGGTATATCACTGAAGATACCCCACAACAATTAATCTTGTTATTCAGGGAGGACATCCAGTCAGAAACATCTGACTGGTTGCCCTCCCTTTGGTTCAGCAGCTTTAATTAGGAATGGTTAAGCCTGAACTTTAGGCTATCTCTGACCAGGATCTTTAGCCTGTGTGTTGTATAATGTGATATTTTAAATTGATTGTACCAGTTTATAAGAAAGTGACCCATAGGGACTTGTAATATGACATCTTAGAGTTTCAGAACTATAAGTTACTTTTCTTCTTCTAATGATTCCAGGTTGTGTTTGTAATGCATTATTTTTTAATATTAATATGATATAAGAGTTATTATTATGTTTCTAAGTACAACCATCTTATTACATATCTAAAATTAAAAATTATGTTTTAATTGTCAGATAATGTTGTTTGGTACTTTTCTGCATTTTGGTAGAACTGACAAAATTATTAAGCTCTTTTAGGTTTCTTTATCCTTACTCCAAAAACTTTAGTATTATTTTTTATAGACATAGTTTGGATTTTCACAATTTATATTTTATCTTAAAATAATTTTATTATTTTGTATTTTGGATGTTGAAGTTTCAATTTAAGATATTTTTAAAATGTTTGCCAGTTTTTGATTGTGATACACTAATTTGAGTAGGTTGTGGGATTTTATATTTAAGTATTTGTCTTGAGTAACCTTTGTATTTTTTATCAATAAACTATCAGTATTTTAGCAAGTTTCTTTACTAAGTGTAATTGTATTGTTTTATAAACTTTTTTCAGGTAAAAATAATACTATTTAATCACAAGTTTTTAATAACACTTTGAAGAAAAAAAAGTTTTTTTAGTTGTTTTTCATCTGATCTTTACTTTACACAGTAGTATTAAGTCTAGTTGGTATTTGTACAAATGACACTTGCATTAGCCATAAATGTTTATGAAAATCCTTTTCTGTGATTTAAGACTCGTTTTGTGGGATTAGTTCTTTATTAAGAAACTAGGACATTTTACCATGAACTGATTTTTTATTTATTCATACAAGCTTGTGGCTCTTTTACTGGAGACTTCGATGGGTTAGATGTTAGTTTTTCTATTATACATAACACTAAAATCTTGCTCATTGGAGGCTCCAGCAAAAGAACCAAATCTTTATAGAAATAAGAGAAAACTGTGTTCATGGAGAAATGCCCTAGAGTTTCTTAGTATAAAACTCTTTTGTGTTGTTCAATTGATAAATTATTATTAAGGTATACAAGTTTTAACATTAATGATGATACTTAATAATGATTTGTTTAAATCTTATTCCACTTTTGTCAATCAGTTTATTAAGAAAAATCATCAATCTTGTTTTCACAAAGAATATAAAATATATTAAAATTTTGAGTTATGCAAAAAGTTGAATTACTTTTATTTTACAAAACAGAAAGACTTACTATCCAAATTATTTTTTTGATAAAAGATTTTTACCCATCCTTTCCTCAAAACTTACTTGTTTTCACAATTATATGCTTAAGCTTTTATGTTCTGAACGTATTATTGTGTTACATAAATTACACTACTACCCCAGCGTAGTGTTACAAAATATTGTTAAACAACACTGAGTGTAGGTTTTATGTATGTATTTATACTATTAATCAATTAGTGTGGTAGTAGATGCAGATTGACTTCTTATTGTATTACAGTTTTCTGTACCTGTTGTGTGAATAGTGTGGAATGTGATTTAAATTAATATCTATAAATTGACGTAGTTGAGAGCTTAAAAAAAAAAAAGTTGTTTCATTGTGAAATATTAAACATCGTATGTATATATCTATATATTTTAAGTTGTATTATTTTCTTTTGAATGTATAAATGATAATTGGTATACGTTAAGTGTACACTATTTATAAAACTTCAAGACATTTCTAAAATGTTTTCTAGTTTTAGTTCCCATTTGTTGTCTTTGTACTCAATAATAATAAATCCAAGTTTCAATTCAAACGGAAATGTTCATAATCTTCCTTATCCATCAGTCTCTTCCCCATCCAACAAAAAACATTAATATTCACTGTCACCATATGGAATTTTTTTCTCGTTCTTTTATCCAAACTTTTCTTACTTTCTTCAGATTAAATTATTAAGGTAAATTTTATACCTGGTTATTTAAAACAGTTATTTAATTTTGCTAATTCTCAAATTTAGCCACTTTTTACATTATAATGTTTACTCTCATATGCAGGAACTTAGGAAATTTTGCATTTTCTAAAATATCCATTTGTTTAATAATAAAAAAACTGTATTTGAACATTGAACATGTTTTGTTATACCTCACTGAATATATAAGAAATGTAGGTTAGCCCTTGGATTACCTATGACCTCATTGGTTTATTAAACACATTTTTTCTAAACTGTTTGTACACTAATTTGCATGTGGATTCATGACCTTATTAGATGTAGGGTCTCTATTAACATGAATGACACACATATTACATTTTTTAATTAACTTTCAAAATTCCAGTTACACAATTTTGGCAGCTGATTTTTACACCAGCCAAATCCCTGGCTCCTTCTCTTGTTCCATTGATGACGTCAATCAGAAATTTTATCAGCTATGTGATCCACTTTCTCTTTGAATGTGTTAATGATAGTTCACCTTTATTTTTCATATCAAAGTTACAGTTAAAAAGTTTAGTATATGTATTGGAATATGAATCAGTTTTGTAAAACTGACGAGTGTTTGGACCAGTGTTTTTTTTCATTGTTTTTGAATAAATAAGGAGAAATAGAAATTTAAAATTCACCAAAACAGTTTGTATCCTAAAAACCAATTTAATTCTGTCATTGGAAGCATATTTTATATTTAAAGAGGAAACAAACACTGGACCACTTGGTGGTTTCAGTTGTATGTACAAGGATGTGAATGAAGAAAAACAACTTTAGTAGCTTTAATACAAGCCTGTAAAAAAATATATATATATATGTACTAATTTCTGTATCCTGGTGTATTTGTAACATTCTGAGAAGTTATAAAAACCAATATTTTAGATATGACAAGATATGACTTCAAAATTACACTTGCTTTTACAAATGTGTATGACGACTGTTTCTAGTGGAAAATGATAGTCTTATAAATATTGTTCATACAGCTTTTCCTTTTTAGTCCTTACAATATTTGCAAGTTTTTGTTGTTTTGTTTTCTCTCTTCATCAATGGATAAACAGTTCTCTTCCTGTTTGAAGTCTACTTGAAACTTTTAATCAATCTGGCAAAATGTTCAAATCTTGTTTTTTTTGTAGTGTTGTTGTAGGAACAATCTCCTTGGATTTTGATTAACCGTATGCCATCCTTTTCCTAAGATCAATAGGCTGTTTTCAAGTTTCTATAGGTAATAAACATCTTGTAAATGTAAAATGATGGAGGGATGGCAGTGCTAAAAAGAATGCAAACATGAATATACATAGATCTTCCCTACATGACTTTATATATTAAAATTTAATGTTACACTGTAAAATCCATGAGTACAAAATGGTTACAAGGTCAGTCAATTTGACCAACCTTGTAGCAAGAGTCTGTAATGATCAAGACTTGTTTTGACTCAACTTGGTTTTCCTTGTACACAAGTCCTAAGCTCTTAGTTACACTACATTGATGCCTACCCTGCCATAACCATGATATTATGATAAACAAACTGTATACCAACAGTCATGAATATATAACTTCTAACTGCAGTAATATTATAGTCAAGTATGCATTTTACAGTTTAATGTTAAATTTTAATATTGAAAGTCATGTAGGGATGATTATGTATAGCTGTATCATCCCTATATTTTTGTTTGCTTTCTTTTTGGCACTGCCATCCTTAAATCATTTTACTTTACAAAATGTTTTTAATTACTTGTTTTGCAATGTTTTTTCTCCTGACTGAAAATTAGTGTACTCTATGAATGTGTGTACTAAAATTTAATATTATGTGTATTGATTTTTTTTTTTACCCCTTCCCTTCATACATAATATAGGGGTTGGCTCCCTAAAGAAATTGATTGTACAGTGTACAAAGAATTGAGTATTCTACATGTTCAAGTCATGTAATGTTCATCTATTATTAGCTAGTAATTCCAGTTTCATCCTGTACTTAAGATTTTTAAAAGAACACCAGATTATTGTAAGAAAGCTAACTTCAAGGAGTAATGATAACATTGTTTACATTAGAATTTTTTTTTAATTACTACTAGTTGTTATGACTAAGCAATGAAATTGTGCATTGCTTAGAAACACACAGAGTAGATGTAGATTTAAACTGACATTAGTGATAAAGTAGTTGAATTATCTCAACTGAAACAAGAAAGATGAACAATTTGGTGGATTGGTATCTTAGTAATGGTTTCTTGACATGTTTTTGGGCTTGTTGGGTAGAGAAGAAAATGAAAGTGAGTGGTAATCATCTTTTAAAGAAAACTCTGCTGTTGTTGGTTTTTTTAGCATGTATATTTGTATTATGCCTATAGAGTACCTTGGCCATCCCTACATATAGTCTACCGATGTCAACTGAAGGTTGTCTTTGTGACAAAAAAATTTATGCTTCACAATTTGTATGGAACTGTTCATCTGAATTTACATTTTTGGTGATTCACATTAAGTAAATCACCAATGATATTAAATGTACTCTCAATCATTCAGCTTTAATAAGGTGGGTAAGCAAGTCATGCTGACCGGTTTTAATAATGCTAGCTGATCAAAATCAGTCCTAGTGTCTGTGCATGCCAAAAAATCTAGCAAATAACTGTCTTGCAGTAATTTCTTATTTAAGGTCATATTTTTCAAATTGCTCTTCTGTAATTACATTAGTGACTTGTTTGTACAGTTTTCTCAATCTCAATACTGGATCATTTGTCCTGATGATGGGATCAAATGCAGAGGAGTGCTGCATTGAACATTCATTTCCTGTGTTAGGTCTTAAAACTTTGTAATCATCTTGTCTGCTTTGGAAGCCTTTGAGGTATTTTGAATCTTAACTCCAGATCCATATCTTTCATTGAAAAATGAATGAACCAGTTTCAGATGCCCAGATTTACAAGGTTTCTTGATGCGGTTCCTGAAACAGGGAAGGAACTGCTGTTCATTGTGCAACTTATCAAGTTTTGGAACACAAGGACATATTTCTTCAATAATGGCAAGTAATACTGAACAGTAAAGCTACAACATAAGGTGTGTTTAATGATAAACAGTTTCTCTACAATCCATCTTACTAGCCTTTTGGTTATCTTCTTTATCATCATTCCTCAAATACACATCTTCTGCAAAGTCTTGATACAAGGGTCTGCCTGATTCTAATAAAAATACTACATAAAATATACATTGACACACACAGGTATCAAGTGGGGATCAGCTTATTTAAACCAAGTTTTTCACATGGTTGGTGATCTAGTAAATTTTCTACATGATTTATTACACTGAGCATGATTACAAGCATGACTGTCTGTATCTAGTAAATGAGATATACTCCCATTCTTGATTTTCTATTCAAGTTCATTATTTGACCCTCCAATAAATATACAAGAGTCCATTAATATGGATATTAGGTTGCTCCATGGCATTTTGTTTTCAGTTAATAAATTGTCCAATGCAGAAAACAAACTACCTGTCCATCACATTAATGGAATCCAACTGATGGACCACCACATTCTATTGTTCCGTATTAAAAACAAAAACTTACAAGTACAGCAAGGACTCTGTAGCTGTTGCTACTAGTCACCTCATCAAATTTTAGGGAGAAATATTTTAAGTATGTATCAGCCACTAGTTTATCTCTAGGTCTTGGTTTGTATGATGTTGTAGTTCTATCCATGAAAACTGGTTAATGCTTTATTGTCACGTACAAGATGATGGATAAGAGAAAATAACAATAAGTGCTCAGTTGTAATTGACAATTACATTGTTTTAGCAATGTGAACACACAATCAGCAAGTGGTGTTACATATGAATTATCACTCTTGGTGGTAGGGAGTTGACTGTGGTTGATGTCTTAAAAAGCTGAATTCCACTGACAGTGACACTCCTTACCATAAAATTAAAATGGTTAACACGTATTGAATTAAATTAATAAATTAAATAGTGAGGAAGCACTTAAATTACAAATATTAATTACAGAGGTAAGCAAGCCATCAAGTTACAGACATCTTATATATATTATACTAAAGATAACTGAAAAAAAGTTTCTAATACATAAATAAGAAATTCAATAAATCTACATGGAGATGTAAATTCAATTTCTCCAGCCTCACAATCTAAATATTTTGCTCCAGCCATATGATCTTCAGTTGGAAAACAACTACACTTTCCATAATTGATCTCCTCTGAAGAAATCTTAAGGTGAGCAATGACAACCTTTGTCAGTTCTTTTTACCACATTTCCATGTGAGATGTTGTCTACCTCCTCCAACCAATTTTTCTGCCATAACTATTTAATATCAGTGTCAATTCTTTTAATATCTGACTTTCTGGCATCAATATCCTTCTCAACAGTTGCTACTGTAGCCAACAGCTTGGATGGGTGAATCCAAGCAATCACATATCACACAACACTTCCCAATTATGCCAGTGGTGAGTGGCCAATTGCTATAATGCAGTAGTTAGAATCTGTAAAACTCTAGGATTAAAACAGTATTTGAAAATATTTTATAGAAGTTTCCAAATGTTAATGGAATGTCTAGTTGCACTTAAAATTATTTTTGAATCGTTTCAAGTTGGCTTGTTTAATGAATTATACATGAAATGTAGTTTGTTTGTTTTTTCCAGGCAGTATATAGTAAAATATACAGCAGGTGGTATTTTGTTGTGCATTGCTTAATTAAGGAGGTGTTTGTTACAGTATTAAAAAAGTTTCATATGAACTATTGCATAATTTAGTAAAACATTTTCACAAACTACTAAGGTTTTATAAAACTAGAGGTTTCAAACTCTTTCAAGGGCTCATCATCACCATGTACGAAACTAACCAAATGAACAGAATTAAGTCTAAGCTCACATCATTCATACAATAATTGAATATATAAACATTGTATTTTCCTAAAATTTCTTTTATGTTAAGCAAAACCAAGTGGAAAAAAGTAAGCTTCATAAAAACCTACATAATACATTTTTCAAAAAATTGTTTAAATATTATAGATACTGTTTTTGTGTATATTATGAAACAAAACAGATGCTTCTAAGTAATATCTGATTAATAATTTATTTCCAAACAAAGCAGTACAATGCTTATTCTTCACATACTTATGTTTTAACAGATGAAGCTTCTAACTGTACACAATGTTAATAATAAATCGTCAGTTTTGAAAATTGTCAAAGTTTATCAGCTTTCATTTTTGAGGAATAATCTACTACACTTAGCACGTGTTTGGAAAAATGTAAACAGTACCAAAACCTTGCACGTTTTTGAACAGTAAGAAGTAAATTGTTATTTGTAAGCTCAAAACTTCCAAAAATGAGAGCGAATATAACAATACAACAACTAATCAGTTAATTTTCATGAATTTTCTGAGAATCAATATTACCTTTCCAATAGTGCATATAGCATAAGTTGGATAATAGCAAAAATTATTACAGCTCATTCTTTGAGTACCTGAAAAAAAAATAATCATCAGACTGTAACCTATACTCGCTAATCTCACTTAACAGTTATCCTGCACAAATGTTTCTTTCTTGAAAATACTGTTGCAAATTTAGTTAACCTTTATTCTTCAGACTCTAGTAAAATTTATAATTGCATATAATACCTAGTATTCTTTAAATAAAAAAGGGGGATGAAAAATTTAGAAGGTTCTGATGTTTGGAAAACTTTTAAAAATGATAATCAAACAAACCTTTGTATAATTAATACCTATATATATAGGTATTAAATATACAAAGGTTTGTTTGATTATAAAAATATAACTTTAAATTACAATTATTAAACAAAAATTATACACATTATAAGTTATAAAATATGACAAAAAATAACTATTAAATACAGGTTTTGTATTTCTAATAAATTATGAAAAGTGTAGTAATGAAAACTCAGTCTTTTTACAAGCCCCAGGGTAGAATGTAATTTTTTTTTAATTTAAAAAAAAATTTACTCAAATTTAATATTTAATCATTTTGTTTGGACAAACTTTTTATTTTTATTATTTTAAAGAACTGATTTTGATTACAATGTCTCCAAAAGCTATGATTTTGATCATTAAATTTCAATTATGAAGATAATACATTTTACTTTCGTAAATGGAAAGAGCTTCTTTATAACAATCTTTTATTAAATACTGCCTCTGTTGACCAGTAATTATTATGCAATAATATAATTGTTAGAGTAAGTCTTAAACCTATAATAAACATAAAATATCATCTCTCCCTTTAGTCATTTATGTAAAGTATTCGACAAGGGATTAACAAATATTCTATAAGTTAAGCATATCAATGACAAGAATAGCTTCAACACATAAATGACAATTTTGTTTTACTTTTTTTTGTTTACAGAAGAAATTAACTTTACCTGCTTGGCCACTGTGACTCCTTATCTGTTAGAGGAACATAGACTACACCCATCAAAGATGACTTTCTAATTTCTCCAGTTGGAAGTTTATCTATTTGCTCTAATAATTGATTATTTCCTTCTTTTCCCACGGGTATAATCAATCGACCACCAGGTTTAAGCTGGGCAATCAACTAATCAAGTACACAAAACACATTTTACTGTGAACTGTGTGATGTAGTAAATTTTATGGGAACAGCTATGTTGACAGTAACAGGTTAAATATTGTATAGTTAGAGTGGCAACACAACTAGGCATAATAAAAAACAAATACACTAAACAAATGGCATAAATCATGAATATTTTGAACAAAAGGCAACTTAACATCAAAAGCATGAGCTGGGGAAAGTAGTGCATGAGTGAATGTAAAGATTTTTTCAGTAAACAGCAAGAGTGTGTCAAAATAAGGGGACTGGTAATTTGCAATGTCTGATACATCATCTTTCTTTTTGGTGTACTTTAACTTCCTAAGCTGAGATCGTTGATACCTTTCCTAGTAATACATCATGTTTATTGTCCATCTGACTTCATTAATGTAACCTTTAACTTCTATCAAGTAACATTTCTAAAATAACAAAATTTTTGCTCCTGAGAAAGAAGGTATCAAAAGTGCTCAGACATTTTGGGTAATTTTGAATAATGATTTGTAGGCTTATTAAACTCTCCAGTATAATGATTGTGGTAAATAAAGTATTAAAAACCTCAAATTAAAGTTTGTTTCATACATACATGCTTGAAGAGGACAGTTCAAACAGAATATTATACCAGATTTTACTACTACATGAGTGTTACCCAATTTTGGTATCTTCCCTTGAATAGGATTATACCCTTGACATCTCACCCCAGGAGAATAATCTACTAAACTAATGGATTAACCTGATAGTTACTGCTAATAAGACACTTTTTAAGAATTCAAATACCACACATGTATACATACTACTAACAATTTCTAATACTTTATCTAATCTCAAAAATTTTCAGTTTTGAAAAGGTAGCATTAGTTATTCCTATATACCTCAATTTACAGGAGTGTAATGAAATAAATCTGGTTACTAGCCAAAATTTCACACTTTGACGGTCTTCAAGAAAAGAGGTTTGGAAATAATTACAAGTGAAAAAAAACAGTTATATAAAACTAATGAATTAGATAATATTACTGTTAAATAATCTTACGTCATCTGGTAGCTGAGCTGCAGCAGCACCAACATGAATTGCATCATAAGGGGCTTCATCTGGATACCCTTTTCTTCCATCACCAACTACAAAAACAGGTTTAACTATCATCAGCAAACTTGTGTCCAACAACATAAAAGATGTAATTTCTGGTATCACATCATGTAACCTAACAAAACAAAGGTACAGAACCTTGTACTGTGTTCACACTTTTGTCAAGTACTTAGTTCAAACTAACACATACAGTTTTATGGAGTATAATTCCCTAAGAATTAGTCATCTGACATCAAAGAAATAGAAGCATACCTTAAAATCATGTGGTACTTACAGGCTCATATAAACCTATCATTCCCATTTTACCTTAGTTTCACCATTTACTGTACAATACTGATACTTTAGGTCAAACCTTGTAATTTCAGAAGCATTCTTACCAATCATTTTTATTCTTCCAGATTCCAATAATTGTGGATTGTCTTTCTTGATGTTTTCTATAGACATGTTCACTAGTTCTTCTATGTGATCAATGCCTACAGCTAAGCCAGTTTCTCCCACCTAAAGTTAAAAATGTGTGTGCCTCATAAATAATAATTTATTAACATTAGAGGTAACTACATAATAATTTTTTTAAGAACATTCTGTTCCCTTAATCCATTGCAAGTAAGAAGGTAAAATGCTTCCAGATTTATTAAAAGTGCTTAAGTGTTTGTCATTTTTCCTTCAGAAACATATTTTGTGTGTAAAATAAAGTTTTATAATCACATTGATTTTAAGGCAGCACTCATAGAAACCATGTTTAGAAAAGTTTAATAAATGAGTTTAATTTAATAAATAAATTAAAAAAGTTTAATTTCTTTGTACAGTTTACTTTAAGTTTATGCAGAACATACCATTACAGCCATGCAAGCAGTAAGATAACCACTTCCCGAGCCTACATCTAAGGCTTTGGCCCCTTCATATAACTGATCCTTCAATAACTCCAAGGCATGTGCATGCTGTGTACAAAAGAAACAGTTAGCAGGTAGATCTATTACAATGTACAATTTATAAAATGCCTCATCTAAAATACATTTTAGCATGAAATCCAAGCTTCATAATTCAAGACAATTTCATACAAACTGATAAAATCATTGCACATTAAAACCACCATTCATTGAGATAGAATTAAGGACCCTAAATCACTGGTTCACAGTAAACTCAATTAGGCATTTTATTATTCCTTTAATAAAAATATCAATCAAATAAGAATGCTTAAAATGGTTCCAATAATTTATGTTAAAACAAGAGTAATAAGAGAGATTCTATACCCTTGCCCCACCACTCCTTTTTTGAGATTGCATGCATTTATATTGGATAACATCAAATTTCACCTTCAAAAAACTCAGAACATCCTACTCAGATTCGTAATGATCAAGGATCTGGATCACTGCTTTTAGTGTGATGAAAGTCTCAACCTTAATATGCCTATGAAATTTGATACAAATCCAATCACACTTTACAGAGTTATTAACCCTAATCCATGAAAATGCTCATCTCCCCCATTATAAAAATGCTTCAAAGTAATCCAGAATCTGGCCTGGATCAAATTTGGGGAGGACTGTCCTATGTTGACTTCCCATCTTGAGTAAAACATGTACTTCGTGTACATCGGTCTATTAGTTTTCAAAATACGCATACAGAAACACACACACAGACCTGATTGCTATACCCTTTGTAGGGTGATGGTAAATGTGGTTTCTCTGAAAAATTCTAAAAACAATTGTTTAGAGCTTTTGTGGCTGTGCAAAGAAAATTTTTGTGAAGCATAGAAATAATTATGACACATATCTGTTGTGTGAAACAATTCACTGATCACTTGATATCCTGAACACTTTTGAAGTATTTAATAAATGTTCAAGTGTTTAAGTTTACTAGAATTCAGCTCGTTTATATGTCAGAAACTTATCACTAGTCAGAAAAGGGACTCACCATATGAGGAGCACTGATAGTTACAGCATATCCTATTCCTTGAGGAGAATCCATATATGGATTACTTTTAGAGTAGTGAGCTCTGTCCACAGATAACATTGTTTGCTCAACTGTTTCACTGTTAATTATCCCATTTTCTGTGAAAATAGTAATCTGTTTATTTCTATTAAACAAAATTACATGTACAACTAACACAACTGCTTTTTATGCCTTCCAGGGGGATTCTATAATTAATATCCATGAATTAAAATATATTTCAGGCTAAAAATACAACAGAGTATAACAAAAAAGCCTATATACAAATATGGCAGGAAAAGGTAATTCTGCACTAGTACACACAAAACTGATATTTTTTATGACTTAACAATATATGAGCTTTTCTTTTTTAGTTTCAATAAAAAATTTTCATATTAAAAAAACCTCAAACATTATACAAACCAAGTCAAAAAAACTTACAAAATTAATTACCTAGTGTGATTGATAAATACTCAAAGTATTATGTGTTATTTCTTTATTTTCTTCTCTGCTGGATTCCTTCTTTGAAGTAAAAATATTTCTGTATTTCTAGAAATGATCACTATACTTGGGAAAAATCCAACAAATACATATATCTGTTACTAAACCTACTTTTCAAGTTTTGAACCATCTCCACATTATTTCTTCCGTGTGATCGCCAGGCCATGTTGATTATTCCACCAATGGTCAAAAGTACAGTGAATATGGTCAAAGTCCTCCTCAGTGGGGGCATCTACATCTTACAATGTACCAAAATGATAAACTTACTCTTGGTATTAAAAAAACAAACATCCAGCAACATACATATAAACCATAATTTCAATCAACTTCACCTGTGACATCCTTTATACAAATGCAGTGGCTTGGTACTTTGATGGTTAAAAAATTTCTCCATAATAGTAGTTAGTGGATAAAGATCTTAGCTTAGCTGGTAAAAGTCCTTGCTTTTTTGTCACTATAATAAATTCCATAAAGTAAAGATGTTGACACTGGTGCTCAACTCATAGCCAAAGTTTTGAATCTAACTGTAACTTACAAAAACAAAAGTTCAACTGGAAGGCTGATTTTGTAAATTTTAGCCTTAAGTTGTATGTATTAAAATTCAACCAGACAAGAAAGTATTCTTTTTTATTAGATTTACAAGTAATACTTAAAAATTAATAAAAAATATATTAACTAAATTTTAAGAACAACTGAACCTGATGAAGACGTGCAGCAACATTTTTTCTTTTTAATTGACAGTAATAATGGAGAAGGAACAAAAAATACCCCTTAGTTACTGTTTCTACATGTGATGGCTGTAAACAATCACACACTTCAACACATTCAGAATATCTTACTTAGGTAAATCACACACTTCAACACATTCAGAAAAGCTTACCTAAGATAAATCACACACTTCAACACATTCAGAATAGCTTACCTAAGGTAAATCACACACTTCAACACATTCAGAATAGATTACCTAAGGTAAATCACACACTTCAACAAATGTTAATGTAAATTATGAAAGTAAAGGCTAGTAATAGTAACACTAGTGTACTCTATACCACTAAAAGTAAAACTATTGCTATGGTAGGCCTAGTTACTGATATGATCACTAATTAATAGCAACATTAGTCCTAATATCTGGTAGTTGGTACTAAGTTACGTCAGTTACTCTACTGCTAGTAGTCTAACTATTGAGTGCTAATGTTATTTTTACTTTTTAGTAGCAACGCTGTCACTAATACTAATAGAATACAATGGTATCATTATCAGATAACGGAACTACTGTCTTACACCAAATTTATTTGTACTTTTAAACAAAGAAAATTTTTAAATATCAAATTACATCTAGATATTCACATAACTTCCCAAGTTACAAAACAGTTCTACCAATCCTTAAAATTATTTCTACTTCCTTTACTATCAATTTCAAGAAAATAACTCACAACTTCATAAGTTTTACCTGCAGATGGCGCGTCATTGACAGTGTTTCCCATTTTCATATAAGACTAAAATATAGTAGTGTTAATAGTTTTCAAGTATTATTATCAACAAGAACGGAATTTATTCCCAAAAATATATAATTCTCTTTATCATAATGATTATATCTTAGGTGCTATTTTATTCAATACGTTTAAGTGCCATTCAACCAATGCACATTAGTTAAGAAATCGTTTAGAAACTTTTTTTTCATATTGCTATCGTCAAATGTTGCATATTTTACTTTTCTATTCCTGTCCTTCCTTTTTTTTTACGGAATTTTTTAGTGAAGTTTCTCGAATTATCGGGGAAGTCCGATTTTGTTCGAGATGCCCTCTTCTATGGTATATAAGTCTGGCAGAGAAAGTCAGCGGGGGAATAAAGTGTGTGTTTTGTACTCGTCGAGAGCGAAGTTATCGAGATTGTGAATTCCTGTGATTTATACCGTGTATTATAAACGTTGTTAAGTCTAAAGTGACGAGAAACGTACTGATTGTGGAACTACTGTGTACTAAAGTTTGTATCGAGGAAGTATAAATTGGTTTAATCAAGAAAGGACTTGTATCGCTGAAGATCCTGGGAAAGAATTTCTACCGGAAACAAACAAATAAGCAGATTTGGTAACAATATGGTAAAATATGTCAAAATGCTTTGTACTTAACTGGTGTATTACTTATGTACTATTTAGTAAAAGGATTAAATTATTAGTTTGAATTGATAAACTTAGTTCGGAAGACGAATTTAAACACTGCATTCTTAAACACTGGACACTTTGTATATTCTGAACATTTAACTTTACCTGAGTAATTTAGTTTCCATGCTCTAGTTCATATTGTTACGTCTCCGACAAAACTTTAGCGACACAAGTTCTTTACTTAATAAAACTGGTTTATTCTTTCCAAATACAACTTTACCGATACACTCAACTTCAACAATCGCGCTAAACAAACGCTGTAACGTCTCTCGTGCTCTCTGACTGCAGTTCAATTACTCACTGTCTATACACACATTACCGCGTCACGTTGTCCCCCTCTTTTATATACCCGACTACCCTATATCTATTAAATACTAGAGCATTCGCCAAAGTACATGATAGTTCTAGAAACGTGGCGTCACAGTAGTCATGTGACTCGCTGACGCAACAATATTGTTGCAACGTTAGTTTTCGCTGGCTAGTTCTTTTAAATTATCTGATGTAAATAGTTCAACGTTTAGTGCACATAACAATAACAAATTTGTTTTATTTTCTCCTCTTCTACAGGCTTATACACTTTGTTATAGGCCTACGTTTACAGTCACGCTATATGCACTACACTAACATAAACATCAACTTACCTGTACAAAGTAACTCAAATATGTGCAATAGCTAACACAGATCCCAAAACCTAAATACACTGATTGGTTCATTCTGCTGGCTAGAAAACAAATCTCTATCTTCTTCGTGGTGGGCAGAGCACAGATAGCCCTTTGTGCTTAATAATAAACAAACAAATAATCCTTATTCTAAATATTTCGCAAAGTTTTTCGTTCATTAATATTTCCGAATATTCTAGGACAAACATAATCTTTAGGTTATGCACCTTTTAGTTAACATTGAATTACAAATATATATATATATATATTGTTACGACAGCGGAAGTCACGTGAGATTCTCGAAGGTTCTTGACTTTTCCTGGCAACTCTAGTCTTTTCTAGGCGCCCTCTTTTATTGTATATAAGAAAGAATAAACCAGTTTTATTTAAGAAAGGACTTGTGTCGCTAAAGTTTCGTCGGAACGAATTTACGGAAAATTAACTAACGAACGGAGACGTAACAATATATATAGTTCGTTTCAAGCTTTAGAATAACAAGCATATTGAAATTCCTGGATTAAAATTTCTGTCAAAAGTAAATTTTCAAATAGCTAGCTCATACAAAGTATACCAAGAAATAATATTGTTGCGTCATCGAGATCACATGACTACAGTGACGCCACGTTTCTAGAACTATCCCGTATCTTGGCGAATGCTCTAGTATTTGCTAGATATAGGGTAGTTTGGTATATATAAGAGGTGACAACGTGACGCGGGAAGGT